CCACGTCTGTGTCTTCTCCAATTAAAGCTTTGCATTTGGATCCGAGCGTCTCACGTCTCGTCAGCCCCGTTACAGTTTATTTTGTTTTTCTTTTTACCCAGTGAACATAAGGATACTGATAAACACAGGGCACATGCATTTTCACTTCTTCTTCTTCTTCAGGTCACAGCTGACCTGAGACCCTGGCTTTCTCGGTCTTCTTTGAAGCTCCCTATGAAATAACAAGAGAGAAAACATTCGGTTGTAAAATGTGTACCTCGTGTAAAATGTGTTTCATGAATGTAAATAGGTGAAATAATGTGAATTGCTTACCTCTCCCCAGAAGACTCGTCGCTGCTGCTGCGTCCGAAAGCTGATGAGTCGATCTCTTATCAGACAATGACTTTACAGGCAGCATTTGTTCACGGTTCCTCCAGAAAGCGATTTCAGACAGACTTCTGAGGCAGCATGAGGCTTTAATGATCTACAACAAGAGAGCTTTGCTGATAATACTAATTTATTGGTAGAAATGACATCAAATGTGGATACATTTGGTGAAAACCCTACATTTAAACACAAAATGCCCAAACTTTTATAACTGAGCTCAGCTCTCACGGATCGAGGACTGCAGCTGTTGACCTCATATAGTCCCCACAGAACAAAAAAGGGGGTGTCTTATAGTCCCCAAAAAGGGGGTGTTTCCCAATTACTGCGCGTTTTCACACTGGGATTAGATAACTATCCAATCAAAAAAGCAAAAAAGCCTAAGAGACCATGTTATTATTTTCCTTTTACTTTCTGAAGATAAATCAAGAGGAAAAAATAATAAATAATGCTGCATGCTTTTAGTTTTTTCCCCAGTGCACAGGCGTACACGTATGGAAAGTAAATTGCGTGCATCTTCGGAATCGGAGATTAAATTTAGATTATAATTAAAATGGATTAAATTTAGAATTCCTTATGATTTAACACTATTTGCTTAAAGTTGTTTTATGTTTGATGAGAAGTAAAACCTTCAACATTTCTCACATTATCACAGTTTATTTGCTATAGTTTAGAAAATGGTAATAAAATATGATAAGTACTCAGAGTTAAACTGTGTCAGAACCAATTCATCTGGTTAATGTCAGATTGTCACGAATTCGGTCCATGGACTTCCGTTTATTCACCACCAGAGGTCACCCTTTCCATTACATTGACTCTTGCACAACTCAAACTGTTGCATAGCACCCCGGACTACATATCCCATCATTCTTTGCACGATTTGCACACTGCACTGATTTGCACTCATTGCACACAGCTGTTTCTAATCACCTCACTCACTATATAACACCCACTCTAACCACCTTTTGCTGCTGAGTATTGTTTAGCCTGTACCCCTTTCTGAGTCTCTGTGTTTTCCTTGTTTTGCCTTGCCTGTTTTCCTGGATTTCTCCCTCTCGTCTCGCCCCTGTGATTCTGTCTGCCGATCGGTGACCTACGCTAGCCCTAGGACTATTCTTGTGTTTTTCCCCACCATATACCTGTTTGCCAGTGTTCAACCCTGCCTGTTATACCACGTCTCTTGAATAAAAGCTTGCAGATGGATCCACACGTCTCACGTCTCGTCAGCCCCGTTACACAGATAACATAAGCATAATATAATTAGTCATATTGCATATTGTCATATTACCACTAAAATTATGTGACAGTGATAAACCTCATTCTTTTGTCTCTATATAGAGACATTTGCATAGATGGGCGAAACATAATCACCTGATTTTGTAAATGTGGCCAATTACATTTGCATTAAGCACCCAGTTTGCACTTGTCTATAATCTAAATGAATAGCTGAAGAGCGTGCAATAGCAGAAATATGCCTTTTTAATGAAAGCAAAGGTCCATGTTTAATTAAATTGTCAATGAAATTAAAATGTTAAATGAAAGGAGAAGGAAAAAAAACTTACATTGTGGTTCAGTTTAGATTTATACAAACATATAGCCTATATCCATATATTTCCATCACATCGGCCCAGATAGGGAAAAATCACTACCACTTTGATAAAGCAAAGATGCCTACATATAAT